GTAAAAGTCGAGTCGAACGGACACAGAATCTCGCCAGAAGCAACTGATCTGTTTGACAAATCCGTGCGCACGTTCTTCTGGATCGTTGAATCGTATGGATTGGATCGGTCTCGAGTAACGGGAGACAACCGACTCGTCGAGGGTGGTAGACAGGCTTTTTTTTTACCCTTGCTTTAAAGACAAACAGAGGAGACGACGTCCTATTAGAGGCGAGCAGGGGGGCGGGAGGGAAGTGAGGGGCCAGGCAGAGCGAAGAAAGAACTGAGCATCGACAACCGAGTCGACCAAGAGGGCCCCGTATCGTTTTAACGTCTCTATTAGCGGCTATTAAAAATGAGCTAGAGACCAAAAAGGATAAAAAAAAAAAGGAAGCGGTGAAACGACGACGACGAGGGGTTGCTGGGTACGGGAGGTGGGTAGAGGGGAGAGACAAGAGGGGGTCCCGTTTGCTTGAAATCGCGGGCCCTCTGTTCACATGCCGTCTCCTCCTCGTACCGGTATCCAGTTACCTTTTGTGGAGGCCTTCGTCGTATAGCTCAGATTTTCGAATGATATGTTCTCCATTGTGCCCGGGTATTTAGCATGGCACGGGGTTGGTCTAAATCGTGGGGGCTTCCCGGGGAAGGTAGGGGGCAGGGGGGATGCCACGGGGATGGGCTCGTACCACGCACGAAAATCCACGCTGCACGACACGGGGGTAGATTCTGTTAAAATGATAGCCCTCGTCACTCTAGCCGGAGTCGGGTATAGATCCGATTCTGATATCAGGTTGAAATTGATCGTTTCTTTTTTTACACGCTGCTCGCCGCTACAGAATCGGAGAAACTAGTTCTAACGGGAGAAAAGGGGGAACTGAATCTGGGGAATTCGAGCGATGTTCTTTGGGCGATTGGAGTGACTCGTTCTTGTGGAGGTTGACTTTCAGTAGGCAGGCGGGATTGCAATTTGTTAACAATTATAGCAGATTTCAGGGAATGTGATTCATTGTGTATATGTGGTCTTTAAACCTTGGATGGCGATGTCTGAGTCCAATTATGAAAAATTGTAAGAGTTTACGTAACAGAAAATATTTAGAATATAATCCATATTCACAATTTCTCAACAGAACAAGCACGGAAGTAAGATTCTTCGCTTCTTGCCTCCCGGTTTCCTCAATTTATCACCTATTGTCGTATCATCGCACGCATATGTTTCCAGTCACCAGATCGAACCGTTTAAAGAGGCCCCTCGTCGTCGCGAAAGCCTCTCTGTGATCCTTTCACCGGCTGCGGTTAGTTTCTCGATCGGTAGATCGATCGTGTCTTCCACGTCGTCGTCGGCGGCGGCGGACGCGACCATCTTGCGCGTAATTACAGTAGCTTCCGTCACGGTTTGAGCCCTGGTCGCCGTCCGCGTGCATAATACTTTACAACATACGGAGGGATTACAAAAGTGACTCGTCATGCGGCGTAAATACTTAACGGCGGGGCGCATCCTCATCGCGGGCATCCTCTGGTTGCACCTGATACTTTCCCCTCCCGCCCCCCTACTTCCCTCTCCCACTTTGGACGCGACGCCTGATGAATTTCTTTTTTAATCGTGCCATCACCACCACTCGAAAACACCGCGTCACCTGTGATATAGCCTCGTTCGAGCAGTTCGACGCGGTCCTCGATTCGCCACGCGAATTCGGGAGGGAACCGCGTGCACGCGCGGACACATGCCGCGAATATATTACCAGGGCTCACGTAAAAGAAACGATGGGCCCTCGTTGAAATCAGTCCGAAGCCCTCCTTTTCAGGCCTCGTTCGGCTCGTTTCGATCTGGTTGCGTTTACAAAATCGAACAAGCCCGCAAATATATTGCCAGGCCCCCACCCCGAAAAAAAGAAACGATGGGCCCTCGTTGAAAATCCGTCTGGGGCCGTCTTCTCGGGCCCCGCCTCGGCAGGTTTCGAGCTCGTTGCGTTTACAAAACCGAGGGAACCGTGAACATCGTTGCATGCAAAATGACGGAGGATGTACATTGCTCGGGAGCTGAAAAATTTCTGCCTCGGAAGTATCAAGTCATTTCATCGGTTCGCGGAGTCGCTCAAATATTCATAGAAGCTGGGAAGTAGACTGGACGATGAACGTAGAAACACGTGTGTGTGTATTAGGCGGGCTACTTTAGGTGGAAGGAATATTCATTTACGCAAATGTTCTGTAACGGAGACGTATCTTCCCGAGAGCTGGTACCGTAATAGTAATTATATGAATTCACGATTCATCATAGTGATCGATGAATAAGGCTGCTTGTAAAAGTACCATGGGTTCGTGCAAGCTCTTAACTCACAACAGTGGATAAAGTATTATACTCTTCGTTTTTACGAATCAAGTAATTACCCATTGATAAACGCTGGAAAAAAGAAACACTAGCCTTTCGAAATTATGTAAATAACGTTGAAATCCCTCTCGTAAACGATCGTTAACAACGGCAACTCCGACGAACCGAAAGAAACCTGAGGCAACTTTTCCCCCGGGAGCAAACCGAGCGTAAAGAATCAGAGAAATTAATGTTGCTCCGGTCGCAATTCAACGCCCGAAAAATTAACACCGTAAGCTCGAGCCTCCGCGCTTTAATGTCACGACATTAAGACGGGGGGGTCCGTGAATGGTGGGGGGGACGACGATCGGTCGTAGAAGAGAGCACTTAGCGGAACAAAACGCGAAGAGGCTGGCACATAATAAGTCGCGCCCCGCTCGTGCGGGTGTTCCGTGAAAGGACGGAAGACAAAGGGCGAGAGCGGTCTTGAGGCATAATTAAAACGCGTCGAGTGTCCCGTCGAATCGAGACACGGGGCTAAAAAGGAGAGATGGACGCGTTCCATCGTGTCGTCCCGCACCTTTTCTTCTTCGCCCACCTACCCCTCGAATCGAATAAATCGTATTCACGTCATCGTCAGTGAAACTTGACGTCTCGTTATATGAATCTCTCCGATATCACACTGACGAACTATATAATAGAAACCTCACGATTTCAGTATTGTTGAAACATTTATTTTTCCGTAAGTATTTTGTATATCATTAAACTTAATTCATAGATGTATTTTAAGCTGAATTAAAATCATATTTCTGGGTGCATCGATTTGATGAATTTGACTTCCAAAATGTTACAAATTCTATCACAAGAGTTAACCGTGTAGATATTTTAAAAAACAATTTTTTACACTTCCTGCGAACTAAACATTATTACAAAATATGACACTCAAAAATAATATTGAAAGTTGGCTTAATACAGATTAGTAATAGCAATAAGAATATTATCTGCTAAACTGAACAACGTTGTTTATTTAGTTCACCATATTGTAAACATTGGGCAGTGGTTACGAACGTCGAATATACGAGTTATCGGGAGGTGATTTTTTTTCGAATAATACACGAATCATCGACGAACGATTCACCGTTGAGATATCATTAGCTCGCGGTCGGATTCGACGCGAGAGGTGAATCAGCTCCTGGCGAACGTCCCCTTTTTTTTAGAGCGTGAGGAAGCACCCAGACGCGATCCTCGTTCGAGCTGCGAACCTGTTCGAAATCACTCGAGGTGTTACCGTGGTAACTGTGCGGGCTCGAAACTCGATTAGCAAAGAAAATACGGGAGTATCTCGGGCCGGGGCCGGGCGTCGAATCGATCTGCAGCCGAAGAGGCTTTTAAGGCGACCACAACATCTCATTGTCTCTGGCAGACTTGGGGAATGATTCGCGTTTCTCTTTATACCTTATCAAGAAGAACCCGTTTCCTCTTGGTAAATGTATTCGTTTGGAAATATATTATCTCTGCCATGAATACCTATTATAAATTTAATTACAGATGAATAGAATGAAATTCATTTCAATCTCTACTACTATAGACATTATAATAGATTCAGAAATCTTCAGGTGAAAGCATGAAAAACGAAAAATTGCAGCAAGATACAATCGAATACAAACGAGGCGTTAAATTCACATTGTTCAGAGGCAAATTAACTCTTTTCCCGATTAATGGGCTAAAAAGTCATCGTGTGTGGCCCACGGTGAATAACAATTTTCCTGTCGACAGGTCGGAACATCCGTTTCGATCGCGTCTGGCTCGCTGTTTATGTCGAGCAGACGACGGCTCGCGTGAGAAATCCGCGGTATTTTCTTTATCTATCCGTGATCTCTCGAGTAATGAGGTGGATCGTTCTTTCATACGAGCCGTCGTCACCGTGGAATCGTCGGTTATTCTCCCGTGAATCCTTGCTCACCTGGGAAGGATGAGCTCGCTCATTAATTACGGCCACGATGACTGGAAACAAAGTGTTTTTCAGCGCCGCGTACATCCACCTATTACGTTTAAGCGGGAACGAATTAAAATTCTCATCGCGATCTACGCCCACGCCAGTCTCTTGCCTCATGACGGACACGGCCTCCGCTTATTGGTGGCTGGGCTGACCTTTTTCGTTAACCCCGCGATAGACGATGCATGCTCGAGTAATCGATACAGAAAAGAACGGATGGGTGCATAATAGCCGTGTAAAATAATATACGATAGATTGCGACAAGCTGAAGTTCCTGCATCAATAATGAATTCTTTGGTATTAGAATTGGTGAATAAGATGGTACTTGATCCTTTCGATACGGGCGTATCTTTCGTGAAACGTACCACACGATACAGCTATACGAACCGCACTCGTTGACGGTTGACAATACTTCCGTACGTTTAGACATTTAATTATAAATAATTTGTAAATAAAATTTAATATTAGAACTACTTCAACTTTTTAAGAATTGTTCAATGTGCAGGGTAGTTAATTTATAAAAGGATCTTCAAGCGAGTCTCTCGATTTCTAGATTCGACACAATAATGCGCGAACAAGATTTCAATCAACTTTCAATGTCGAGGAGCTCACGAACCAATCAGGTTCACATCAATTAATCCACCACGACCACCCCTTCCAGCTAAGCGACGACGAAATTAATTGACGTAGGCTAACGTTATTGTTCCACGTTATGTTACAGAATGCAGCAGCAATCTGGCACAGGAAACGGAAATACACGTCGCGCGCTGAGCCCCGGACCGGGCGGCAGCGACTCTGAGGACTCCGACATTTCTCTCGGCGGTACGTCGCCTCCGTCGCCAAGTTCCTCGCCTCCACCGACTCATCAACCATCTCCTGTTCCTCTCGGGCCCCTCGGACCGTTACCACCGCCATCCTTGAATTTCCGTTTCGATCCGTCGCAATCGCAGTTTCGATTCAACCACGCGACGGCCTTCAAGTTCCCGCCGTCGGGCTTCCGGTTTGGACCGCACAGCCCGCAACACAATCATCCGAACATCGCAGGTGGCGGGATCTTCAGGCTGACAGAAACGAGCCCGTTCCAGGCTGTAGGACCCAGGGGTGATCTTGGATCGAGGTAAGCCCCTCTTTGACAAAAAAAGTCCATCCTTAAGCGAGCACTGCGAGTCTGATTGACTATCAACGTAATCGATGGTAGACTTTAATCACGTCATCGAACGTGACAAGTCCATGTGTCTGTTATATTCAAATTTTCCAGATTTTAATTTGATTTTAACAGGCATATTGCACCGCTTTTATGATTTTTGAGTTTGTTAGGAGTGAAAATGAGGCGTTAATGGACACTCTTCTTTCTTGCTTGTCAGTTTGCCTAGCCCACTGATGACCATAAGCGTAATGGCAGGCCACATGGTTTGGCATTTTTGGTACTCATCGTTTGAAATACTCATTTCTTCTCAGTTGTATAGGTTGCTTAAGAAAATTAACAATTTGTCTTCACCGGGTTAAAATTTCCCGCTATTACATTTAGAATAATCCAGCTATAACTGTTTTACCATAACGAGAGCGGTTGCCAGTGGGTTAGAGACACAAGTACTTCATTTCAATGAAGTTAATAACAAATTATCGATCGAACTGATACATTCTATCTAGTTCATCGCTCCAATTCATTTGGATCAAACAGCAAAGCCAACCAGCCGAGTGAATACCTTAACCCCTTGCCCTATAACATCGAGTCAGACTCGTGTTGACGATTTGAAAATCGATTCAACAAAAATGAATATTATTCGTAAAAGTACAGTTACGACGATAAAGAATTCCTTTCTTTTCTGGGAAACTATCGATAACAATCTAATCCGGGAGACTGCAGACGTCAAGAAACTCATAGGGCAAGGAGTTAATGCCCTCTAAAATGGTACTGGATCAAAGAACCCATACCACCCCATTACAGTTGCCGTTTCCTTCAATGATATTTCATTGTCGCAGACTTCCTAACGTGCGTTTCTCACTTTCAGACTGCCGGATCCCTTAGGATTGCCTCCGCCCAGGCTCCATCCCCACGAAGGTCTGCTCCATCATCCTCACGTACCGCACCAGCTACCGGAAGGGATGTCCAGGCTATCGGATGGCTCGCGACTGTCCGACGGCGGGATCTCCCGTCTCTCGGACAGCCTATCGGAAGCGCACAGCCCGCCGTTAATGGCGACGAATCTGTCGGTGACGGGTCCGTTGAGGGTCGCGGTCCCGAGCCCTCACACACCTTCCTCGCGGGGTAGTCCACCTTCCAGCCAGCAGACGCCGCAGGGTCAGTCCCAAGGTCAGGGGTTGATAAGGGTCGCGACGCCGCCGCCGAATCCGAAACCGCCGCAGATCCACAGACCGTTCTCGCCGGCGTGATACGACACCGAGGACGATCCCGAAGAAATCGTGTTGGATGAAAATGATGACGATGACCGTGCCACGGTGCCGAGCAAAATCTCGACGACGGAACGTAAACATCGGTTTCTCGAGAAACGGTTCGAAGTCTTGTGAGATCGGTGGGAAGCACTGCACGGTACACCGAGAAACGTATGGTGATTCGACGAAGTGAATTTTCGGTTCGAACGGGAACACTGGAGCGCGCGCCCCCCTGAACGTGCACGATGATTATTCGAGATCAAAGAACCAAAGCGGCCGTTTCGCGTGCGTCCTCGAGGAATCCAGGACCGGGGGGGGGGGGACGCGAGAAAATCAATCGACGCGTCTGACAGGACGAATCCGCGAATCGGAGACTCGTTCGCGAAACGACAGACGAAGAGGATCGAAATATTTTCGAGGACGCTGCTGACAGTTGTTACCCTGTTCGGGAAATGTGGCCAGATAATCCAGTTGACGGTGGTCGTCGTTTAGACAGATCGCACGAGCGGACGTGTGCAATTTAATCGAGAGCGAACAAACAAAATCGAATCCGAGTGGTGCCGTGTGTAAATAGTATTTTTTTTTCTCCTCCTTGAAGAGCCCCGCGGGGTGGAGAGACACAGAAACCCGGGGGATGGGGGGCTCGCAAACGACTCTGCTTCGAGGCTGAACAGACCTCTCTGTGTAGTGACGTTGTTTTGTAGTTTGTACATAGCGACCGCTTTCCGTGAGATATCAGGAAACAAGTAAAAGAAACTGTTGTTCGGTGTAATCGTTGCCTGAAGGAAACCTGTTCTGTCGTCACCTCGAGCCACGTGTGCTGCCACGAGCTATCGCGACCACAAGGGCTAATTTCAATCTCGAGTGAATGGAGATCAACTGAGAGCCTTTTCTTCTCTAGAACATCCAACCTAATGGAAATCGTTGCACGACGATCGAACGTGCTGAAATAAATCATGAAGCTCTAATAACGGTCGTCGAAGAGCCCTCTTTGTATCAAGATCCAACGAACCAGCGCTCTGGGTGAGATTGTTAGGACGTTTTCGTCGCAGCAACAAACCGCACAATATTTCGCTTGTCGTCGATCGAAAGGAGTGAAAAGGTGAACGACACGGAGGACACAAGTTAATCAAATACACCTCGCGAAAAGACACATATACAGACACACACACACACACAGCCCCACCCCTGTTAGCTAAGTAGAGATTAGCGATTTGTAAATTTCCTAAATCGACTCTCAGTCCACGTTGAATCGTTTTACTCTGGGAGTAACGAGCCCGCGTTACAGCTCGGAGACGTCCATCGACGAGAGCCGATCGATTCGATCCTCTTGAGCCTAATGTGTAGGGAAACTCGACGCGCGCTGGCGACCACCCCCCGCCCCCCAACTGTTCGCCGTAACGTTTCCCTTCTCTTTGTAGATACAATACACACACACACACGCAGAAAACCAGACGCAGATTAGCGAATTTCTTGTAATAATCGGCCCTTATAAATATTGAACATACAATACCGGAATCTATGTACACAGTAGGGGTACCATACGTAAAAGACTATTACCAACGGAATTATACATATATAAATATACGAGGAGAAAAATGAATCATTATTATTATTAATATTATTAATTATTATTAATATTATTATTTGCGCCTGTACATACATTCACGCGAAAATATATTAACAGATTATTATGACAATTACAAACAAAACCGTCGTTCTGAGTCTTCAATTCGAATACCACACCCCCCGCCCCTCCCGTATTAACGAACCGACCGCCACCATACTCAAATTCCCATTCCATTACAACCAGCCCCAACGATCCACCAGTAAATTCCACGTAATCGACGCGTTAATCCACCATCGAAAATATCATCGAATCGAATTAAAATTACCTGTGGAACTGTGATTACTCGCCTAGTTACGCTCATACTGTTACAAAACCACTCGTCGTAACATTCTCTCTGTCAACGTCACGATTTCCGCAACCAGGTGACTCGTGTTTGTCCTTCGATTCTCGATGCTAGCGAAGGAAACAATTAAAAGTACCTTCGTCTCTAATGGTTCCAGGTCCGAACCATCCGCATTCTCTGCCGTTCGTTCCCGCTAACTCGAAAGAAGCCAGTTCCCCACGGTGCCCGCAAGTCGAACGAATATCGCATAGTCACGGAGGCTCCCTGTTAACGAAGTCGAAGAAGTCGCGTTTCGAAGCACACCCGGGTCGTTTTTTCGTCGAAGGTCAAACCGCGCGCCGCGAGTCTGGATACACCCGGGAGGAGGAGAGGTGTATACGGTGGCCACGATGGCACGGGAAACGGGGAGGGAACGGTGATAGAGGAAGTGAAAGAGAGGGAGCGATCGAACGGAGAAAGAGATTCCAAGCGAAATGGGGGGAAGGTTATCGACACGAGCCTCTCTGCAGCCGGAGGAAGAGAGCTGGAGATACGTGACAGAGGGAAAGTGGGACGGAAAGAGAGGGAGAGAGAAGGAAAGAGAAATAGAGAAGGAGCGAGAGGATCGGAGAAGTAGTTGCGCGATAACGTGGCGTGGGCGGGTGTCGCTGACAAAATGGACCAATCGGCTGGCTGGGTTGCCTTGTAACCGATCCCGCGGGTTAACCAGGAACCAGGAACATCGACCAAGACTCTCCAAAACGCCGATATGCCCAGAGCGCACGCCTAACCGTCCTTCCTCGACGACTCCACCCTGTCCTGATGCTTCCACATGCGACCACTTCCTCTATCCCTCTCTGTCCGTCTATCTCTCTTTCTTGCTCGCCGTTCCCTCACCCTTTCTCTGTCGCGCATTGATGCGTGAGCCTTTCCACCGCGATCTTTCGTCTCCCTTACACCCTTTCCCTCCCCTGCCCCGCCGTTTCGACTCCGTGTAGCTGCCACCAAGCGAAAGTTCTCGACAGCTGGATGGGATTCCTTGGCCGATGGAAGATGGAGTCGTTACGGCCGCCGGGAATGGAGATATTCCGCGGCCGGTTTTTCCTACGACGGAGCTCTGGTGGTCGATGAGACGGAGCAATTGAAATTTGTTAGGTCAATTCGAGATGGGACGGGGTCGGGAGGACTGGATCTGTTGACTGTGTGTATCAGTGGTGTTAGTCACCGGAGAGGAGTTGGCGGTGGAAAACAGTTGTTAGAAAATATTATGTTCCGGGGGCATGGGCGTAGTCAGGGGAAGGGGGCAGGGGGACACTTGCCCACCCCCCCTGTACGGAAAAAATGTGGCTTTTGTCCCATCTTACAAGAAAAAAATTGAATTTTGACCCTCCCCCACCTTTCCCAGAGTTACAAAATTTTTGCGTAATATTTAATATTGCAGTATAATTTGAAACACGACCAACAGCCTCTATTAACAAAACCCATACATTTTCAACGATTTATGACTTTAAAAACAAAATAACGTGTGTCTGACTATGTACAGCGTTTTCACTGTGCCAGTCGATGTGTTAATATTTTTTCCCCCCACCCAATGACTGATAACCTGGCTGCGCCCATGTCCGGGGGTAGGTTTTTAAACGTTTTTAGTTGCTTCGTAGTAGATTTCGTTTCCTTTAAGCCTGTTTTCCTCCTCGAGTCTATATGACTCGAAATGGAGATTGTATTTCAATAGGTATTATGGTTTTAAATATTTGTTTTTAGTGATCAACGTACCTACTTAAATGTTACGCCTTTTTGTGTATTTCCCATTTCTTAAGAACAAATCATTTCGGTGTGATCATTCAAACGTGAGAAATAAGCGAGTAGAACAGCGGGGTTAAGATTAGAACGTAATGTTCGTTGTTTAGATAAGAAAAAACCATTCCACAAAGTAAAAACAATTAAAAATATATTTCAAAGAATTATTTCCAACAGTTTACTGCTCCAGTAATAATGTTCAAAGTACACTTGCGATCTCGTAGACGGAAAAGCACGAAATTCGTTAAAATGTCTTTCTCAACGCAGAATACTCGTTTAAAGCTCACGGGCAACATAAAGCGTCGCTGCAAAAATCTACCACTTCACGTGCAGCAGCTTCGAGAATTTTGAGACAGACGATTAAATCTGGCGACACCCTTTTAAACTGCACCCCGTGGCACGCAATTGAAAATCCCGACCGGACGATCTACATTAATCCTCCCGGGTAGAACAGCAAAGTGTAGAATGTCGACGCGCTACTAATTCCCGGTTTCTGTAAAAAAAAAAAAGAAGAAAAAGGGGAACTGGCGTCCTTCTTGATAAGCATCGTCTGCGATTCAGCGAGCGGAAAGCGGAGCGGGGATGGAAACCGTTGTGCAACAAACGCGCGCGCCGCGAACAATGCCTTGCTCGAAACGTCGTCGCCACGTATCCGACACGTAGCCGCGGAAGAATTTTCGTAGAAGGGGAAGGGGGAACGGATGGATGAATGTCGCAGATTATCGATAGGCATCGATTCCGTGTACCGTTTTCAAGGTACATCCAATATGGCGTGAAAAGGACCGTTCCGTCCGATCTCGTTCAGTCCGCTCTCGCCCCTCCTCGTCGCACACTGGATGCCACGCTCTCGGCTTGCCGGTCGTGTTTTGACAGTTGCTGCTCTGACACCTCTGGCACATTCATTAGAAAGTGGTTCTCAATCCCAGGTAAACCGGGTCTGTGTCGTTTTAACGTTACAAAACAGGTTGTTTCTTTCCTGTTTCGATCGTGTGATACACTTGAAGACACGGTTGTTTAACAATTTCAGTGACATTCGATTTTTGAACGAACGAACGTCTTTCTTATACGTGTGTTTTTATGTTGTTTAGAAAGATTGGTAGCAGATTTACCAGGAGTGTCATATTCAATAGATGAAAAAGGTATTGGCGTACACCCATGATTTTTAAAATAATGTTATGAATATTTGAATTATATCATAAAAATTTCTATTACATTACTGTGTGTTAATGTGATTTTTACCATTATAGTTTGTTTATTCTGTCCAACAGATTTATTATAAGAAACATGAGCGTGTAGGCACTTTATTTATTC